TTCGCAATGCTTCCGGGAAAAAAACAGCACCCCCTCAAATACTGCCCGCCATTTTGGGCCTCTTTGCCAGACTGGCATGCCACAATCTTGGACCAGATCTACAAAGAAAGCGTAAACCTTTCGGCCGAAATCGGCCCTTGGGCACCTTGGGGCCCCGATTTTTTGGCCATGACCTGGAATGCGTGAGTGTTGGACGCCCTGTTTCCACGATTTTCTCTCCCCTTGTCACAAGGTCCCTTTGTTTGGCCTGGGTTGGGGCCGCTTTTTCTCATACTAACATAGATTTATTATTTATGTAAGTACCTCAACCGCTACCCCTCAAGGCATTGGATCACTCCGTGCCTTAAATGCAACACAATGGGAGCTTGGACTGCTTTTGCAGCAATCTCGGATTAAAAAAACACAAGTCTATATAAAGTAAATACATAAATAAATAGATACATAAATAAATCGATAGGTAAAAGCCAACAAGTATAACAAAACATAACTAAATAGCTACATAAATAAATAGATAGGTAAAAGCAAAAAGTATAACAACACATATATAATTATATATGATTAAATATTATTATTATTATTAGTATTATTATTATTATTATTATTATTTATTATTTATTATTATTTATTATTATTATTTATTATTATTTATTATTATTATTATTATTATTATTTTATTATTATTGTTGTTATTACTATGAATTATTTATTATTGTTATTATTATTTATTATTAATAATTGATTATTATTATTTTTATATTCTAGTTTAATTTTTTATTATTATAATTATATGATTTCTATAATATTATATATATTATTTATTTATTATTATTTTTTTTTTATTATATTATTAAATTTTATTATTCATTATCTATTATTATTATTGTTATTAGTATTATTATTATTAGTATTAGTATTATTTATATTATATATATGTAAATAATCAAACACATATATACATAGATATACACAGTGGGAATAAATGCTGAGACCTGCAACAGACATGTGCGACACACGAGTAAAGGTCAGAGTGTGCGCAAAAAGAGCAGAGCACCTGCCGGACCTACATTGATCGGCAGCAGGCTGACCCAGATACCCGTTTTCTGGATGGATCGGATGAGTGGCCCGTGCACCTGTGTACAGCCAGGATTACCCGCCATACTGGGCCTGGCTGCAGAGCTTTCCGTGCCTCGCCGGCGCTTCTGGGTGTGTTTTTTCTTTTTGAGCGGACCCTTTTTGGCATGATTTGCAAGGGGAAACCAAAGGAAAGTACACAACGGAAGGTTCACTTCTTTTGAGACAACCCGATGCTTCTATCACGCAGTTGTCATCATGGAAGCACCTTACAGCTGCGAAGCGGCAAATTGACGCGAGTGGGTTCCGATTGCAAGGCCCTGCAGCTGTTTTACAACCAAACAGAGAGCACATGTGCCTGCTTGCACTCGAGTTTGCTAAGGGTCTGGGTTGTGTCTCCCATCATCATCGTGATGTCCATTGCAACTTGGCTTGGAACATGAAACGACATGCAAATATTGGACTCTGACAGTCCCTGAATGAGGATTGCCCAGACGTTTGATTTGTGCATTGGCCAAGACATAAACCTCGGTACTTTGCAGCTGCGTTTCTTTTCCAAGACATTCTGCGTCGGCGCTTTGACCAGTTTTGCGGAGAAATGAGGTGGCTGTTGCCAATGCCTTAGTTGGCACTCTTCGGCAATGATGCCCCTGCACTTGGTCAGCTGTGTCTTTTCCCTTGAGGGTACCCTATGTTTTGTGGTTTTAAAGGGAAACCAATAGAACCACCACCGTTATGTTAGAAAACAGAACAAGAAATGACTCACGCACATACAGTGTAGCAAAGCGGCACCGGAGTGCTGGATCAATGCGACATGCTCAGACGATCTTCCAGAATGCCGGCAGCATTGGAATCAGGCATGGTACTCGTATGATGACATGGTCAAGAGGGCAAAACTGGATGCGTTTCAAGGTGTAGGTGGGTGCACGCGCGCACGCGCACCCACACACACACACACACGCTGCGTGTGTGTGTGTGTGTGTGTGTGTGTGTGTGTGTGTGTGTGTGTGGGTGTGTGTGTGTGTGAGAGTGTGTTCTTGAAACGGCCAACTTGCTCCTGAGTGATTGGCTTGTTTTGTTTCTGTCGGCAGGCCAAAGAGGTACTCGATTGAATGGATGCAAGCCAATCGTGAACGTGAGCGCCAGGACGGCAAGTAGCACTCAATGCTTTGTCAAGTCCTGCGGCTAGCTGCCGACAATAGTTGGTTGCCAGGAGAACACAAATCCAGTCACCCGCTACTTGGATCGCCGCCGCACGGAGCGAGGTGGCACCTGGATTGCTGCCTGGCATAGAGTGAGCTGTAAGCAAAGGACAATCAGGCGATCAAGTCTTGCGGCATGTTCCTCACTTCAGCTTGATGAGTCGTTTAGTAGGAAACAATGTTTGGACTATTGACTCAAGTTTGAAACTGTGCATTTCGGTAGTCGTGTCAGAATTGCCAGGCTCAGTACAACCTTCCGTCGCTTGTCTGCAGTATTTCGGACCCCGCGCGCACTTTTCAAGCACCCTACTTGGCTTGGAAAAGGCGCCTTAGACATGAACCAACAGTCACTGGGTGAAAAAAAAGCGCTCAGCTCGTAGCCATGGCTCTGAGGTGGCACCCATATTGGATGTGGATGCGGGACACTCATGATCCCGACTACCCTGAGTTCTACCAGCCGAGTCCTCCGAGCCCGCACCTGCACTATGAGGCGCCCTCTCCTTTTTCTTTTTGCCATTGACATTTGGGGGCGTTGCTCCCTTTTGAAAGGGAAATCCCCATTTTGTGTTTGCTTTAAGGGAAACTCATGGGAAAGCCGGTCCCTACTTTTGAGACAAGCGCATGTGAATAGTCCCCAGCAAGCGTTTGGACATGCGGCGGCAAGCGCCCGAAGTTTGCCACATGTACAACACTGCATTGAATGGATCAATTCGGGTTACTTTTTGGGGGAGAAGAAGGGAACCCAACAACAAGCACCCAACTGTTTCTTTTTCCTTCTCCTCGTTGTTGTTTTTTGGGGGAGGGGCTATTTTGACGCATCTCCTATTCTGAGACCCCATGTTGAATGACAGATGTCGCCAGGACTACAAGCGCATGGACGTCTCCTTCGCCAAGGAAGAGTGAGTGTCAGGCAGATCGCGCGGCTCCAATTTTTTGGGTGCCCCCTACGTGTTTTTGCTGGGAGGCCAAAACGGAAGAGCATCTCGGGGATGTGTGAAGCCATTGGCTGGGCATGAAGGGCTTGAGCACGCGACCGTCAAAGTTGGATCCCTTGGCAAGTTGGAACCCTGACTGGAAAAAATATGTTGGAAATGAATTCGGAGAATTAGAATCTGGAAAATTAGAATTTGGAGCCCTGACTGCAAGTTGGTTCCTGAATGTGTTTTGTCAGAAAAGAATTAGGAAAAGCAGTCCATGGCGTCCTTGCGGTTGATCGCGCAGGTCACAGCGTGGAGCAGGGCAGTTTCTGAGCCGGCCAGCTCTGAGTCATGTAGACAGGTCCACGACACAAGCATCATAATCACTGACCTCAAACTCGTTCGCATCCAAGAGACAAAGCAAGGGCAGTAATTGCAGTGCTTCGGTAGAGCGCCCAGGGCAGGCTGACGCTCGTCTTGATTTTGATTCTGGCAGCAGCGCACCTTTGATCTTGACTTCGGCCAGAAACTCTTTGCGGCACTCAGCAGCTTGCGAAAGGGAACCCCACTTTGGGGGTCCCCCCCATGTCAAGACAAAGCCTGGGCGAGCCCCATGCCAGGCTGATCTCGCCGATCGCGGAACTATCTTGGGACTGGCTGAAGTGGTGAAGCCCTCGGCTCCACCAGGGGGGTACTACTCGGAAGTGGGACATGATTTTCCGCCACCAAAGTCTGATGTCTAGCAAAGGGTCCTAATTGAAACTCGCCAAAAGAGATCTTCAGCAGTTCCCAGGTGGAATTCCACCACGCCAAGCGGCCCTGAGGACAGCTTGACACGAATAGAGAGATCCGCAGCCTTGTCCCTCGTGCCTCGTGCGCGTAGGATGCCTGGCTTCAAAACGAGGAAGTGGAGGAGGCGCAAAGGGGATCGGTTGAACTTGCTGGCTACTTCCGAGGCAAGTCGCTCCGCATGTTACACCTGTTCTGCCGGAACTGGAGCTCTGCCAGGTGGTGACTGTTGCCAACGGCCACACTACTTGTCAAATAACGATTTGATCCACGACTGCAAAGCAGCCATGGGAGCCATTTCGCAGAGTTTCACGGCGCAAAACCAAGGGACTGCCAGCCCCAGCCGGATTGCGTCTTCGGGTGAGGCATCGACCGAGAGGTGAATCAGCCAAACTTAGTTCAAACCCGGCTGCTCTGATGCTAACCTGAAGCCAAATCTCGGCGCGTGGCGGTCCCTTGAGCGGCGCTGGGGTAGATTTGCAAGTTGTTGCAGGCACCGTGTTCATTTTGCGTCGATCAATCCTGGCCCCGCTCACTTTGCCGCGTTTTCCGCTAATGACGGGTCTTCCAGCGTGAATTATATTGATATATTGATTTATAGCATGGCAGCTTGGCCAAATCCTGTCACCTGGAAGTCGCCCCGGCCATTGGGCCATTAGATGTGCTAGACCCATTGGTCCAATGGTGCCATGTGTAGCTTTGCTCCTCAAAACTGCGCCGTTGACAATTCTGGCACAAATAGAAAAGCCCGGACGGTTCGCTTGCGTCACATCGCGAGCTCGCCTCTCCCCGGACATTTTCCCGCGAGAAGTCTTGGGAGCGGGCCAAGCTGCTTAGCTGCCGGCAGATGGGTGCGAAAGGGCGCGGATGTATCTAGGCATTAGATGGATGAGTCGAGACTGCTGTTCAGAGGGGCTGTCCATATTGGAGACGTTGCTTGGAGAGTTGTTGCTGTGTTTCTCAGCGGTTTCATTGGCGTCACTTCAGTCAGGGCAATCCACGTGCTTCGTGACCTTTCCGCAGAGCTTGGCTTTTCTGGCTGTGGACGCGACCTCCCAGGCCGACTGTCTGTTGGTTTTGGGCGCGCTGGCCGCCCCCCATCAGGATGTGTTTCTGAGCACACCTGCCAGTCATCGTTGTGGAACGGACAAAGGCTCAGTTTACGAAGATTGGAGGTCCTGGAAGGACATCAAACAAGGGTTCCTAGAATGGGGACAACGACC